TTCATCGACAATTTGACTCTTTATTTAGGCATTTTAATTTTCCATCTCCTGAATGAGCTTATATGTATTGTAAACTATTTATGTTACTCACTATGATCACAATGCCCTATGCCTTGATCTTTGATATGGTTACCTGATGTATTTATTTGTGAGCAGAGTTACAAATATCACTCATTGTTTAATCTCGTTACTCATTGTCGGATTTTATATTGAAACTAAATATTTTTGAAAACCTTGTGTCTTGGTTTCCATGATAAATATGATTTGAGAAAATGATATACCAATGCAGCCGATGCGTCATGTTATTATATTGCCATAATATTAAACATCAACTAGCTAATATTTTTACAAAATCTCTAAGTGAAGAACAATTTGATTTCATAAGAAGAGAATTAGGAATGTTAATGTGTCCGAATACATAAACTAGTTAAAATTATTTTTCGAACTTTATTGAATGATCAAATCACTTGATTGTCATTATATGCCTAAATAACATGTTGAAAATTATGTGTTGAATACAAAAATTTCCATAACAATAAGCAATGTTTTGTCTTCATAATTGTATTTGAAAATCTATAGCATAGTCTTGTCCGAATGCATGAAAGTGTTAATTTCATTTTCGGAGTCGCTTAACAATTGGTATCCTAACAATCGGATTTTCTCATACACTTATGAAAAATATTTTTTTGAAATGGATTTGATAAAATGATTCCTGCTTATAAATTCCATCTTGAAATATGGATGATAGTGTTTTTTCTTGCAAAGATTTGTTTCACATACATATCTTGATCCTTGTAAAAATGAAGCATGATTTAATCTCTCATTGATTTTAACTTCACTCAAAGTAAAATCACAAATAGCCTTCCTCTTTCATGCAAAAAGATTATAACAAATAAAAAGGAAGAAATATTCAAAGCAATCTACATATCATGCTTTCCTTTATATGCCTATATAATTGGTTTCCTATCATTTACTATTGGAAAATAACATAAACCTAGTAAAGGCATGAACAACTATCACACTTATGCTCAAAATTTGCTTATATTGTTCTCCTGGTATCACAATTACCACACTTTTTGTTGATGACAAAGAGGGAGAAATATATGAGTATTAATGTCATGCTTGCATCACCAAGCGATATATGAATTGATGCTATGATTGCTATAATTTGCATTATGCCTTGTTTGTATCATGTAATGATATCAAAATCTTACTTCATAGTTTTACATGTTGATATCTTACAATATGATGAATTGCTACTATTACCATCATTCAAACTTGTTATGTAAAATTTGAAAATGAATGTCAAGCCTTGTAAAATTTGCTACTATTAACATCATCTTCAGAGAGAAATATCATGATGGGAATCATGATGGGAGTATTGATAAGTTTAAATGATCAATATGTCTCTTGAATTC